TTCTTTATACTTCTTGATGTTTTGCCTCAAACTTAATGACAGCGAATAACTTAGTTTACCAGTAATTTACTGTTATGTCAATAATATCATTCAGAAAACTGAAATTGATGCATATCTCAATAATTAGCTGGATGGACAATTGGACCTTTTTTTTTCTTAGAAAGTTCCCTATTACATCCTTTTGCTGAATCCATGACAGTAACCACAGCAAAAGAATGGTGTATTCTGAGGAATTTTCACTGCTCTTTTTCCTGCTTGGCTCTGTCACCGAGCTCTGGTTAGACAAGGTTCCTAGTAAAGAGTAATATTACAGAACCGTGAACTTCGTAACAGATCATCGTGGCTCAGCAATATAATTTTCTCAATCCTTAACAAATATTTTATTGTTTATACTAGGTTCTTATGAGTTCTCTTTACTAATAATTTTGGTGGTATGATAATCCTGCAAACATTTTGGATATATATCATGTCTTTTTTGTAGTTTTGATACCTTATTCTTAGTCGTGAGCTACTAATCTTTCAGGTTTGACTATTCAAGCTAATTTGTACTACAAAGTTCTCATAAACTGGACCAGCCAAAAGGTGAAAAGTACTTCCGCAACACGAAATGCATTTGACTTCAAAAATGGTGCTTCCTCAATCACTCATTGCAAGCTTCAGGAAATTATAGATTAGCTATGTTAAACAGGATCAGGGTTATGAAGCTTTGTTGTGCTACAATATCCCCCTTCGGTTTTCTTTAGTAGCTCAAGTGAAAGATTAAGATCAACGTATTTGTTTGCTCATCTTACATTATCTTCTGATTTTACTTTGTAGTCCACAGTTTCGATCGTTCCACGATAAATGCTCCTGGACCTTGTGTTTTATTTGCTACTCCGGGCATGATAAGTGGGGGATTTTCACTTGAAGTTTTCAAGCAATGGGCTCCGTGCGGACAGAACCTCATAACACTCCCAGGGTACCATCTGTAGTTCACTTTATTTAATATCCCATAATGAGACAGAATAGAAATGAATTTCAAATTTAAATTTAGCATTTGTCCCTGCCTTTGTCATATATCCAAAACTGCCTGGGTTGAGTAAGCAAAGTTGGATAATCAATATGAACTGGTCACATTTTGCTCTTCCAAAACATTTATCCAGTATTTACATTTTTTTTGCTTCAGGGTTTGACTTCTCGCAATTCCTCAGGAAATTAGAAAAATTAAAACTCATATATATGGATGAAAATATGTCATTCATAATGATCATTTCGTCTTTATGGATTTTAATTTTTCTATTTCCCATTAAAAAGATTTCTTTCCTTTTTTTGTCATTTCCTTTTCTTTTTCCCCATATAGGAGGTTTTAAGGTCATCTAGATTCCATTTTAAATACCTCCTATTCGGATTTCCAATTGAGTTATTTACTCTTTACTGTAAAACTTAGTTGAACACATCGAAAAGAATAGTGGTGTGTAAACGTCATTAATTAACTAGCTTCTTTGGTCATTGCATAGAAAAAAAAGTTAATAGCTCTCTCAATTTTACTTTATGCACATTAATTATGGGATTAACTATTTTCTTTAATACCATTTGAACTATCTGGCTTGCTATTCATTGAATTGCAAGACTAGTTAGAAGCATTTGAGATAAGCTATGGACTTCCTCCACTTTCATTCATTGTCACCATTTTACTAACTTATGTTCTACTATCCTCCTTTGGATCCTATTTTTCAGATATTGCGTAGCTGGGACAGTAGGACACAGGTTGATGTCCGCTAAAACTCCCGCCAAAATAAATGTTGATGAAAACACCCAGATTGATGTGCGCTGCCAGGTACTTCTATTCTTGTATCATCTTTAATTTGTTTAATTTCATCATATAGTAGCTCTTCTGTATATCTGTCTACGCTCCAGTACAATGATCACATTTAAACTCCATTGACTCGTCAAATAACTATTATTATCAACCATCTGGTAATGATCAAGCTGAGAGCTAAAATTGAGCGTTCCTGTCATTTCTCCATCTGCTCAAAATTGTGTTTATTTCTGTTTTAGATTACTACTTTGGATGTCAAAACTTGAAATTAAGAATGAAATATGGAAGTTTTATGTTATTTAGCTCTGATCTTTCGAACTATATAACTTTTATTTATTTCTTGGATTTTGCCAGATCCATCAGCTGTCTTTTAGTCCACATACTGATGCCAAGGGAATCATGGATTTGGTCAAATTTCTATCACCCAAACATGTAATACTTGTGCATGGGGAAAAGCCCAAGATGGCATTGCTAAAAAAGGGAATTGAATTAGACTTCGGGATCCCGTGCTATTATCCTGCAAATAACGAGACTGTGTGCATTCCCTCAAGTCTCTATGTTAAAGCTGATGCATCCAGAGAATTTCTTAAAAGTTCTTTGAGCCCAAATTTCAAGTTTCTAAACACAAGTTCAAGAGCAGACATTGATTTGATTCTGAATGAGAGAACCGAGTCTTTTGTGCAAGTATGTGACGACAGAGTAGCTGAAGGGGTGCTCACCATGCAGAAAAACCAGCATCCCAAAATTGTGCACCAGAATGAGCTATTGGTCATGGTAGGAGGAGAAAATCATGAAGTTCAGTTTGCTTACTGTTGTCCAGTGCGTGTCTCTGATGAGTGTAAAGATGTAGCTCCGTCACCAGGAGAAAACACGCCTCCTGTGTTTGATAAATGCCCGTGGCTACACTTATTATACACAAAACTATCAAATGATTTTCAAGATGTAACCTATCAGAATGATGGAGACCGTCTCCAAATAGAGTCATTTACTGTCTCTGTGTGTCTGAAGGAGAAGTGTCCTCATAGAACACATGTTAGTCCTGATAGCACATCTGAAACAGTAAACTTCTGTTGCGTGTGGTCAATGGTAGATGAGAAACTTGCTTGGAGGGTCATTTCAATCATGAAGAATTTGGAGTTGAGGACTCGTTAAGTTTTACTGCTTGCAACTTGGTCGTGGCATTGGTGTCTAATGTACGACCTTGCTTACCAATATTCTTTTGGTCAAGGCAACCATGAACATGCAACTACAGTTTGTCGATCTTCTTGCTTTTCTACATCACCAAAGTAAGCTCCATTTTGTTCTGTCTCTTGAGATAAGGGTGATCTCTTGTACGCACATGAAAGAGCCCAGGGTGAATCTCATGCTTCTCCTTTTGGTTATTCTAAAACGAGTTGATCATCATGTTAACTCGCATTTCGGATCCTCTGAGGATTAAGGAAGCTGATTGCGAGAGCGTAAGCCGAATTTCATTCTCTTTTCCTTTGCTATGCTATCAGAACACGAGATGATGGTCTGAAATTTGGAGACTAGTCATTGCTAGAGAGAGGTTTATAAAGCAGAAACTTGTGTAAGGTTTACTGTCGTGTAACAATAATTTTTTGCTTCAACCCATTCAATGCCCTATGCTTGAAAAGGGCTAGTTTGGTTGATGAGACCTAGGTCAATTGGGGAGACTGAGCCGCTGAGGTAACAAAAACCTTGAGGTCGTTCACTTCAATTCAAATTATCTAGCAGTAGAGTTAT